CGTCTCTGCAAATGACTCGCTCTCCTTACATTTAAGAGGGCGGGATACAAATCCTGGCCGAGCCGTTTCGGGGCCCCTCCGCAGCACCGCCAGCGCCAATCCGCGCGCTCTTCAACTCGTCGCCACGGCCAAACGGTTCGAGATATCGACACCAAAATTGGTATGCGAGTCTGAGATGGTCGTATCCCTCACCGGTTTGCACCATTATTTTTTGCGATTTTTGGTTTAGGCCCTATGGTACGTTGGCTTTCGTTGACTTTCGTCCACAACAACTTTTTATTGAAGTGGAAATTGAAAAAAAGGGCTACGTTAGCGTGTTGCCCCAACCTTCCCCTGCACGGTAATATTTGTCCGAAACCTGTGCGCGTAAAATTACGTCCGCTGAGTGGGATCCGCTGCCCCTCTGCACAACACTTTTTGGGGATTCCTCGATCGGTGAAAATGGACAGTTGCGAGCAGACTATACTGCCTTCCCCACCTCCGCCCGCTGCCTGCCTAGCCTACCCCAGCCGGGGCCATTGACGCCCGTCCTTTTGTTCTGCAGCATGCTGCAGCTCGCACCAGCCCGGCGAGCGAGCCGTCCTGGCTCTCGGCCTGCCGCCTCAGCCTGGCGGGCGCCTCCGGCAGAGCCGAGAATAAAATCACCAAAAATTGTCGTACAAGCATTACTATTTTTTTGAAGGGGAGTGTAACTCCAGCATTAGACTAATAGCTCGACTTATTTTTGCACCCAGATCCCAATTTGAGTACTTCTACCGGCATGGGTATCTGCAGTCAGAGTCCCGAAGCCGGTCCACCTTTGTTTACGCCACGCCCCGCCACACCAGCTGCTGGTGTTGAGGAGGCTCCTGCGCTCGCCCCATTTCCTTCCTTTGTTTTTATTTCTAGAGTATGCTAGTATCATTGTATCTATTGAACCGTCCTTCGGTGCACCCCAATGACCCCGTGTGAATATTTACCATACTGTCGATTTCGAACGAAAGTTGCACTACAATTTTGGCGAGACTGACACACTTAGGTGACCCGGTTCTGTCTGCCCCCCCCCCTTCTCCCCCTGATATTCAGGCCCCGACCAGTGAGTGACATTGACTCGTGATGGAAAGTACAAGTAGCAAAACAGCTGAACAACGACTGTCAAAAATAATTCATATAAAGACAGAAGGGGTTAATTGGCATAAGAGACACATTTTTTAGAAAATTGCAAATAATTTTATTTTGCCCATAACTGCTGATATGACTAGAAACTAATTTATCAAAGCAGCGCATAAAATTCGCTCGAATTCTTCTTTTCTTGACCTATGTGCTATGGCTTTCTTTGAACATTGCCTCTCATCCTCTTCCCGGTGGCATCTCCTCTCTCCTCTTTCTCCTTTCTCTTCCTTTCTCTAGCCTCCTCTACTTCCTTCCTCTTTCTCTCTCTGGCCTCTTCTGCCTCCCTTTTCTTCTTCTCTCGTGCCTCCTGTGCTTCCTTTTTCTGCTTCTCTTTTGCCTCCTGGGCCTCTTTCCTTTTCTGCTTTGCTTCTTCTTGCTCCCTCTTCTTCTTTCGGTTGTTTTCCTCCTTTTCTGCTCTGTCTCGTACCGCCTTGGCCTGTGCCTCTATCACTGACGGCAACTCCCGTATGTCTTCCTTCAGGTTGCGATACTTATAGCGAGACATAGCAATTTCCGGAAGAAGTGCCCCTTTATAAAATCTGAGGAAAGAGTTCGAGCATTAGCGAAATACACACACAAGTGCGCCACACACGCGCGCGCGCGCGCGCGCACACACACACACACACACACACACTCACACTCACACACACACACACACACTCACACTCACACACACACACACACAGTACTTCCATTTTTATGTACCTTTCAAGTTGGTCTCGCATGTTGGTGTTCCAAAAGTGGTTGCTCCTTTCTATCTCTTCTATGTGCTCCCAGTGTTTAGCAAACACCATAAAAACACATCTCTGTCGCCTGGTGATGTGGAGCTGCCCCTGAACTTGATAGTAGTAATCCTCGTTTGTTTTCAGTTTGACCTCTCCATTGCCATCCCTCTCCAGGTACGTGACCTGCAAAAAAAGCGGTCACTGATAGTGGCAGTTTATTTCACATAGTACCTACTCAGTTGTGCATATGTCATCATTTTACCAGTTTCATGTCCATAGCCTCATTTTTTGTCTTTGATTCATAAGCTTTGAAGGGGCATTTCACTTCCAAGATAGCGTCGCTTCCAATAAGGCCGTCTGAAATAACGCGAAAAAAATGTAATCTCGCCAAGAAATTTAAGTCATTCTCTTTCCACGAGTCTCGCTGTGGCCTGTGGAAAAGAAGTGCACAATTGCATGAGCCCTTACCTGGACTGGCGCCTAAGAATGGCATGTCCTTATCTACAAAAAAACCGCATTCTTTTATGGAAGGGTAGCCTTTTGTCTTTAGTCTCTCTTTGGCGAGCGACTCATTCAGCTTTCCATGTTGGATCTGTTTTACATCATCCAAACGGCCTTGCACTTTGCTCTTGTAGAGCTTGTCAGTTACAAATCTCTTGCAAGACGTGGTATCTTGGCGCTTGCACACCTCGCCAAAGTCCACAGCAGTGAGGCGGCCCCAACGCTCATTGAGCCACTCAGGTGTGCCCTGCGCCAAGTTCTGCAGCTCATCTGCCCTGTTCCGGACGTCGTCCCACAGTGTCTCCATGAAGTTGTCCATCTTTTGCTGCAACGCGGTGGGGTCGTCCACGGGAGGGTCAGGAAGGACCGGGGCAAGCTGGTCCAGGTGGCCGTAGTTGTTGTCCGGCCCCGCGGCGGGGGCGCGCGGCTTGGACCTAGCGCCGGCAGTGTCCAGCCTCTTTCTGCGGACGCGGCGACGTTTCTCGTTTCGCTCACTCCGCTTGGACTGAATGAACTGCCCCGTGAACTTGCCTGCGACAAAACAAAGGTGTGACACAGCGGCTTGCAGGCGAGTGCGCGCTTCACGCCGCGACGCCGCATCGCCCTGGACTTACCTGGGCTTTCGCCGTTAGCGATCGCCTTGTACACCCGACGGAGCCCGTCTCCGTCGGTGTTCCTGGACAGCCAAGCAGAGTGGGCGCGCGTGTCAAACGACCTGCGGCTGCCCAGGTACGTCCTCTTGTTGCTGATCCTCTGCGCTATCAGGCTGTTGACCACCTCGCACATGTTGTTAGTTACATTGTGCACGAGGCTGGAGGCATGATCGGCTAACCTGTTTATGGGCACCATGATCTTCGCCCACAACCCTATGTCAATGAGACGCTGCATGTAGTTTTCTTCTGGAGGACCGCCGCTGGAGGCCGCCGCCGCCGCCGCGGCGGAGGTGGAAGGCGCCGCGGAGGTGGAGGCCGCCGCCGCGGCGGAGGTGGAAGGCGCCGCGGAGGTGGAGGCCGCCGCCGCGGAGGTGGAGGCCGCTGCCGCGGAGGTGGAGGGCGCGCCGAGGGCCTGCTTCACCTTGCAGAAGTAGTCAGCACACCCACTGTGCTCGCCGACAATGTGTCGAGGCGCATTGAGAATGTCCTTCCGCAGGTTCGACACACGCATGTGGTGCCTAGAAACTAGAAAAAAATAGAATTCATAAAGCTCCGCCCAATTATGAACAAAGACCTATTTAATGCGATTTAAATACTTTACCTTTTTCAGTTTCTCCACGGTAAATGCAAGCCTTGCTAATACCGGCAGACAGTCTGAGAACCCTTTCCTTCACGACCTTGCGGAGGGACACCGACATGGTTTTATCTATAGCGTTGGTGTTAGTGTCTGCAGCAATTTCCATAAGATGTCTCCTCAAGTTTCGCAAAAGGTGGTTCTTGCACTCGATCTTCTGAATGCGGAAGGTTGCACCATACGGCATAGCGGCCTGCAGCTTCTTTTCCACATTACTGTCGCCGTCACCTGAAAAATAAAATTGGATCATGCCTTTTGTTTTTCATGCCTTTCGAATAATAAATTAGAAGGGGTCCAGGAAAACTAACCAATGTACAGCAAAAATCTCACTCCATGCATTTCTAAGCTGCTCAGGAACGCCTCGACGGCGAGGGCCGCTTCCATTGCAGTTGAAGGGCCAGTGTAGTTTTTGGCACAAGTGTGCTTTCGAACCGGTATCTTCATACGCTCGGCGAACTCGCACACAGCGCAGCGCTTGTTTTTGGTGCCACCCCAAAGCACCTCGCCCGTGTGCTTTCCCATGACTGTGACCTGTAATAACACATAAGTAGTAACCAGGCGCGTCGCGAAAAGGAGGGAATGGGGGGGGGGGGCTCTGCTTACCGATCCAGAGGTGGCGTCATATTTACTTTTGTACGCCCGTTTGCCCCACTGGCCATCAATGATAACTGTAACGAAACACCATAATGTAAGTGCTGCCGCGCCCTTCCCCTCTGAGCCCAGAGGCGCTAAAGAGCCAACGTATCTGAGTCTTACCTGTGACGAAGGGAATGCCATCCGCACTTACATTGCCCACCGCTACGGCATGATCATATTCTCTCTTCCCAGCCTCAAGCATGGCCGTCATCGACTCCTCCTTGATGACGTCTGCTAGCCTGTCCTCGTAGCGGCCGTACGTCTTCTTGGTCGGGGCGGGCATGTTGAGGGCACCGGCGAGGGTGCGCACCGCCACGTACGTAATGCCAGCCTCAACCGTGCCAAGTACCATGCTAGTGTTGACATCCACTGTCGGGCCGGCATCCGTCTGGAATTTGGTGACCTGGCTGCATACCTGACATTGGTGATAGATCAGAGACCTGAACCCTAGGCGAGTTTCCCCCACACATTCAGAGTCCAAAAACGAGCAGTATCCGCCAACATGCTTATCGGCCTTGATCTGCGCCACAAACTGGTCATATGAGATCAGTCTCCGCCCATCTGTTTTGGGGAGAGGCTTGTACTTGACGAGCCTTCCTGCAGCCAGGTTGGCCTCATAGATTTTGATAGTAAAGTCGGGAAGTTGCGTCCTTGGCTCCAGCTGCGGCCGCCAGCTCGTGCCACAAATGGGTGACACACTGCTGCTGGCCTCGAAGTTGAACACGTCGGCGCCGCTCACGGGGGTGGACACCACGGCGCCCTCAGGCCTCCGCGGCGCTGCAGATCCACCCGCGGGGGAGCTGAGAGCGGCGCGGGGCGTCACCGGCGAGGCAGGGAACACGGAGCGGGGCGCAGCGCGGAGTGCGGGACGCGGCGCAGCGCGGGGCGTCGCGGGTGAGGCAGGGAGCACTGAGCAGGGCGCAGCGCGAGGTGTCGCGGGCGAGGCCGGGAGCTCCTGCAGCCTGCAGGGGCTGCACAGAGGTCACAGTTAGCGCCAGTCACAACAAAGGGGCACTCAGGGTAGGCGTGTGTGGCACACTCACCTGCCAAGGGCGGGCTCAGCTGGCGGCGGCGTGACCTGAACGTCGCGGGGCGGCTGCTGCGCGCCCGGGCCTAGCGCCCTGAGGTGGCTCGCCTGACGAGCACTGACCAGCCAAGCACAGAAATTAGTCACGCACACGAGATCTCTGCATCATCCACACACCACTTTCGTACTTACATCTGCATCGGTTTAATCAGGGTACCGCGTTTTCCTCTTGACTTCTTCTTTTTCGCTTTCTTTTTTGCCATATTCGTAGGCAAGACCAACAATAAATCCAAATACAACAGGAAATCACAACACAGCACAACACAACACAGATGACACGCGCGGTGGTAGCGGTAGGACGCGGGGCGTTGGGCGAGGGGCGCGGCGCGGCGCGGCACTTGTCCGTGTGCGGGGATAGCGCACGCAGCTCGACTCTTCTCGAGATGTTCACTCCGCGAGGTAGCCGAGAGCACTGAGGCTCACTTCCCCCCCAAAAGCAGAAAAATCGGACAGAACTGCGAGTTACGTGGATATGCGTGTTGTTTCCGTCCGAGAGCGAGTGTGACCTAAAAGCTATCCATAAAACAGTCCCCCCC